CACTTCAGAATTGTTTCTGGTGGTGCCGCGGAAGGGTCAAACATTTCTGCTAATATTTAGAAACTGTGCGTGGTGAATCGTTGGCCTACTACAGTCATAATGGCTTTTGAAAAAGACCGCCAGCCACGCCAGTTAGTCAGCCATGACGACTTGATGGCAACAGCGCTCCACATTGCTCGCGGCCTCTGTTGTACTTGTTGTCGTGTACGTCCATGCATATACGAAACGTGTTACCGGTATTTCGACTTAAACAGTAACTACATATATACATCGGTCTCACGGCCGCGAACGTCACCGCAGTGACCCAAGACACTGCGGCCTTCGAGGTGAAGATTGGGCCGAGGAGGCACGCTTTGGGTGGGGTCGCTACCGCTTCTCAGTTCGGCGACAGGGCAAGTTGAACTTGGGGGTAGTTTTTGAATGATATTCCACTTTATCGAGTTTGTACGCAAAATGGTTGGTCCGATCGACATGAAAACTTGAGGGAAGCTTCCTTGGGGTGTTCTTGAATAGACCCAGCTCTCCATCCCCTCCTAAAGGGGTGCACAGTCACTCGGGGGTAGCTACCCCCTGAGAAGGGGTTGAAGATGTTGACACCGGGTTTCTCGGCATAGATGTGTTCCAAATGGCAAAAGGAATCATTCCTTAAAGTTTCATGCCAAAACTTCAACCCTTAGGTTCCAAAATGGCCGATATTCGAAAAGGGGTTGCACGTTTGTGGGGGTTGTTTGGCCGGGGTTTGTCCAATTCGAAAAAAAACAAAACACATGTTCCATGTTCTGTGTACAGGGGGTGTCCCCGGAGGATATCACGGTAGTTTTGACCATCCTCAAAACTCACCCCTTCATGCGGGTGGGGGTGAACAGGGCAGGGGGTGGGTTTGAACGACCGCGATTTCGCTAGCGCTGTTCGAAAGAGGACACAAATTTGAGTCGGTACACCAAAAATTTCAACTTTCCGATCATTTTAAGTGACAAATTCGGAACCTTTAAGGTCAAATTTTCTACCCCTCTTTACTCTAGGGGCTGCACAGGCCCGAGGGGGTATAGGGTACCCCGCTCCGGGCGCGCGGCGGCTGAAGAAGACGGCAAGAATCACAAAAGTGAAGAGTGGGGGCACGCCGCGCCGCCGCTACGTGCTCTCCCACTCCGCGCTACGCGCTCCCCCACTCCCTGCTTTTGTGCTTCTTGCTTCCTTCTTCAGCTGCCGCGAGCCCGGAGCGGGGTACCCTATTCACTTCAGTAATACCCTGTACAGATAGCCAGTAATACCCGGTAATACGCAGTAATACGCAGTAATACCCAGTAATACCCGGTAATACACAGTAATACCCTGTAATACACAGTAATACCCTGTAATACGCAGTAATACCCTGTAATACCCTGGAATACTCTTGTGAAGCCTACCTCCAGTGCCTTTACACGATGCGAAATCACGGGTATCTTGACAAAAAAAAACTCGTGACAATGATCAGCGTTCGGGTGCGTGTGTATGGTGTTGAAGTATACGTTGGGCTGCTTGGGCTTCCCTCTGCTGCGACCCCCCACCACCCTACCCCCACTCTCGCTGCGGCGTAGAGTTGAGTGAGCGTCGTTTGTTTGTAGATTGGCCTGCCGCAGCGTCAGCGTTTCGTCTCGTCGTTCTTGGTGTCGTGCTCTCTCCGAAATAGTGAGTAGTTCTAATAATTCACAATATTTAGACATTGGAATCAATAACAGACCGCGCGAACCGTCGTAATGGTTTCTTTTCTTCAATCTTGTCCGTCCTTGTCAGCCTGTCCAGAACTATGAGAGTTGTATAGGTTATGTGCTTTGAGCGGCCTTCGGTTTATTCCACAAACTCCTTGTTTTTGGTAACAAGTTATGTTTTTCAACTGCGATTCAAATGACTTTCGAATTTTCGTTACAGGGTTTCGTCCTACACTGACGGATTGATGCAAAAACCGAACGACGCATTGCTTGATAATGGCAGGTCAACAGGTATACTACAGTTATTTTTGTTCTCTGTTTTCCTTGTTCTAGCAAGCTTGCTTTTACAGAACAGTTTAACTTGAACAGTTTTTGTTTCAGGCAAGTGGTGATGTTTTGTGGAAAATACTGGAAGAGGAGGGATGTTATTGTCCCCCTGACATAAAACTAATTTTTAAAGCATGGAAATCCGACAATTTATTTGCTTTATCTAACTTTAACATGGACACTAAGCTAAAAGAGCTCCAGAAATTTATGCAAGAAAGTTTGCATACTGTCATAGCTGAATCAGTGAAGGAAGATTATTATTCTATGTTCAAAGATAAGCCTGAAATGTTTAAATTTGTGGGTGGTGATAAAGATGTCATAAGGAAAATGATTGGTGTATCACAAAAAATAGTTAATAAGCAGAAGCAAAGTTCAATAGAGAAAGGGAAGACAACAGCAGCAAGTGATGCCAGACAGAAATGCACTGCAAATTCTAAAACTGTTTCAAGTTCTGACAATACACTGAAGGCGAAGAAAACACTGGAAGATACCATCAATACGTATGTTAAGGAAAATTTTCCAACCTTAACGGAGAAAATTGTTGAGTGCACTGTAACAAGTGATG